GCAGTTGTTATAAAGAAGAAATGAATTGATTTCTATTTAATCAGGGGGTAATCTTAGCTCTAACAAATAATGGGCATTTTATAATTGTACTTGCTTTTAGATAAATGTGGATCTTTCAAGCTAATTCTGTGCTGAATAATAAAATTTATCACCACTAGTCAGCATCACAGAGGTCTGTGTTCTCAGAAGTTCATACTAGAACAGTATTTTTTTCTTTAATATGAAAAAGTTTTTTTTTTTTTTTTTTTTTTTTTTAAACACAGTCTCACTTTGTTACACAGACTGGCTTAGAACTTACTAGGTAGATCAGGCTGTCTTCAGACTAACTGACCCTACACCTCCTCCTCCTGACTGTTGTGAGTATATGTTTGAGCCACCATGGTCAGCAGAAGTTGTTTTTCTTAAACTATACAACCGCAGAATGGTAAAGAAGGAAAACTGGGTCCCAAGTTTTTGGATAAAAACTTTAAATAAATAAGAATTTATTTTTCTATGTGCATGTGTGGGTGTTTCAGCCGTGGTGTGTGTATGTGGTCTACAGACAACTTGTGGGGATCAGTTTTCTCTGTCAATATGTTGACCTGTGGATTGAATTGAGATTTGAGATTGTTGGGCTTGGTATAATCACTAAAGTACATAGTTTTGGGTTTATTTTCATCCTTCATGTTTCTTGCTCTGTTTTGTCATTTCCTTTTTAAGATAGGGTCTCACTGTGTAGCCCTGGCTGGCCTGAGACTCAGAAATTTTCCTGCCTGTACTTCCCGAGTACATTGCTGTACCGAGCTCTTGACCTTTTGTGTGTGTGTGTGTGTGTGTGTGTGTGTGTGTGTGTGTGTGTGTGTGTGTAAAATTATTAGACTTTATTTTGGGGGATGCACTTTTAGATCTAGAGAAAAGATTAAGCATTATAGATTGTGTATTATCAGTCCCATTCCTCCTATTACTAACATGTCAGCATTGATGTGGTGCATCTGTTACCACTGATGAACAAACAACACTACAGTTGTTAGCAGCTAAACACCTCGCTTTCCATTAGGCTTTGACAAATGTGTAAGAACAATATATCGGCACAGTATCGTGCAGGATAGTTACATTCTCCTAAAATATCTTTTGTCTACCCTTTTCATCCTTTTTTTCTTCCTCCCACTCTGGTTACTCTCCAGCCATTATTTTCCTTGAAAACCTGGCAGCCATTGACTATATCTTCTGTAGTTTTACCTTTTACCTTTTCCAGAGTGTCCTAGCTGGAGCTGTACAGTACACACATTCTTTTTAGATTGTCTTTACTTAGCAGTGTACATCTAAGACTTGTCCTGTCTTTTTCCATCTATTTTTTTTTTTTAATTTTCTTTCTCTTGCTCACTTTCTTTTTATCCTTTCCCTCTCCTTTTCCTTCACCCTTTTTTATTTTCAGGAAACAAGGTCTTCTTTGTAGCTCAGGCTGGCCTTGAACACATGGTAGTCTTTCTACCTTAGCTTCTTGAATGCAGTCATGTGCCAACAGGTCTGGCTTTCTGTTCTGTTTTTCCCCATTCTATTCTTCATGTATGTTACTGTTTTTTTTTTTTTTTTTTTTTGGAAGTACCTATAAATGTCCTGGCACTTCTTCAACTAAGGAGAGATAAAAGTAGTGCTCATCAAATACTTGATGAGTGTTGTATGTCTCCACACATTGGGGAAATGAATAAAGATAGGTTCTAGCCTTGAGGAGTAAATTATTTAGTAGTGTTCAGCATTGAGAAAGCTCTCCTCCTCAGAATGATAATGGCCATTGAAATTAGCGTGGGCTGAATTGAAGCTTTACATCAAGATTGTGTAAAGGAAGACTCCGTGATTAATGGTGCTTGCTTCCTAGCCTGACTAAGTTTGGAATCCCATGAATCACTTGGTTTAAAGAAAAAACTGACTTCTTCATGCTGTGGCACACAGGCATATCATACACACACACAACACACACACAGTAGAAGGAGAGATTGTTTTCTGACCTCCAGGTACTACAGCACCTGTATATCTACGATAGATAGATAGATAGATAGATAGATAGATAGATAGATAGATAGATAGATAAAATGCATGTACTAAAATGTTTTGAAAAGGAGAAGAAAAATTGGCTAAGGAAATATTAAATAGCATGCACATATTTGTAGCACAAGGCTTGAGTGTTCTATAACTTCCAGGCTTAATGAATTGTGTCTTAAGTTTTTTTTCTTTCTTTTTTAAAAAGATTATTTATTTATTATGTGTATAATGTTCTATCTGCATGTACATCTACAATATCAGAAGAGGCCCCTAGATCTCATTATAGATGGTTGTGAGCCCCCATGTGGTTGTGGGGAATTGAACTCAGGATCTCTGGAAGAACAACCTCTTAGCCATCTCTCCAGCCCGTATGTCTAAGATTTCTAAAAGCAAAATTTCTTTCTTTATTTCTTTATTTTTTGGGGTGGTGGTGGTCAAGACAGGGTTTCTTTGTGTAGTTGCTCTAGTTGTCCTGGACCTCTCTCTGTAGATTAGGCTGGCCTTGAACCCAGATATCTGTCTCGGCCTCCCTTATGCTGGGATTAAAGGGGTGTATTATCACTGCCTGGCTCCTTTTTTTTTTAAAGTAGTTTTTTGTTTGTTTGTTTGTTTGTTTTAATAATAGCTGAAGTACTGTTTTGCACTTAGCATTTATTTTAACTTTTCCTCTTATATAAAGCCATACTTAAGAAGTGTTAGAGTAAAATATAGATTGTTATAGATTGTTCTTGACTAGGAAGTAGAATGACTTTGGAAATACTGTCTTTTAAAACAAATTCTGACTTGATAGAGTACAGAAAGAAATGGCTGATAGGCATTGTTTGTGCTGTCCTTTTTCTTAGGGGTGACATCAGAGCTTGGTTTCTCCTTTTCTTTGTACATTAATAAAATAAAGTCTTTATAAAAATTCTAGGTTGAAAGAAAAGGAAAATGAAATTAAGAGAATAGAAGCTATATTGAAAGACACAGAGAGTGATCTTTCTAACAAATCAAAGCTGTTACAGGTAAGTGATTACTTAAAATTAATTATTAAATGAGTTACTATCTTTGGTTGTTAACTGCTATGAAAGGATATAGAGTTATGTAAAAAGATATAATGAGCCATTTCTGTTCATTGTGGGTCTTGTTTCAAAGGTGAGTATTTTGTGGGCTGGTTCTATCTTTTGAGAAAGTGCTTGGTAAGTTCTAGTGTTAACACTTTTCATATAAATACCTTTTTCTACTTAAAAAAACTTTATTGGTTCTTTGTGAATTTCATATCGTACACCTCAGTCTCACCCTGTCTCCTTCTACACTCTTACCCGTGTTCCACCCTTGCAACACCCCCCCAAAAGAAGAAAAAAAAAATCTTGTGGAAGCTGTAGTGTATGACAGTGTGTCCCACAGTATACCCTTTTGTCCATACTTCTTTGCTTGTAGTGTTCATTGCAGTGGCTCATTGGTCTGATTCGAAGCCTCTGGTTTCTGCTACTCTTATCAATACTGGATCTTCACTGGGAATCCTCTTGGATATCCTGTTCTTGTCCTGTGTCATGGAGATCCTATAGTTTTGGATCTCTAGAACTGGCCTCTTCATGCACTCCAGCAGTCCATTGATGGGGTAGATATTGGGGTGGGCCAGTTCAAATCCCTGGATTTGGGCCTGAGAGTTATCTGAGCTAGTCATCTATATAGCTTTTCCACTCTCAAGCCCTGTGGGTTGGCTCACCTGCAACCTCTGCAAATTAATACCAGCTCTATCCTACTGTCTAGGAGAGGTACAGGCCCTGTTTTTCTGAGTATTGCAGCCAGTGAGGGACAAGGCCCAGTTCTACTCTCATGACCCTGGGGCCAGTTTTCCCTCCTGCCGTAGATGATGAGGGACTAGGAAGAGGAGGACGGTATCTCTCCTGGTTCCTGCCACTGCTCAGCAGATAAGAGGCAGTGCCAGCTCTTCTTTGCTCATTCCCTCGGGCCACCTCACCTGCTTTCCCCATAACTAGGGCTAGCTCTACTGTGCGGGCCAAGTAAGAGCCTGCTCTCCTAAGTGCTGTAGCAGGTGAGGGGCAGGGCTAGCTCCTCTGCTTGCTGTACATTGCTATGGGGGTGGGGGACTCTTCTCTCTTGCTCATGTCACCACAGACAAGTGTTGGGGCCAGCTCTCCCATACTTAGTCCCTTGGGGCTGACTTGTCTGCCCCTCTTGTCCCTCAGGGTCTTGCTACTCTGCTACCCAGGCCAGGTACAGGGTCTCTTCTTCCAAGTACTGTAGCTGGTAAGGGGCATGGCCAGCTCTCTGGGCCAGCCCTCTCACACTTGTATCCTCAGGGATGGTTTACTTGCAACTCCCGCAGTGTGTAGGACCTGCTCTCTGGAGGACTGCAGCTGGCTAGGGATGGGGTCACCTTGCTTATTCTCATGCCCCTAGGGACAGCTTTCCGAAGATGCCCAGGTAAGGGTTGGGGCCAGTTCTGCATAGCCCTCAGACATCAACATGTCCCCAGATGGCAGCCCAGACCAAGGATGTCTGCCTGGCCTTTAATGGTAACAGACCCCTGCTGCTACAGGGCCATATACCCAGATTTGGCCCCACGGTGGCAGTGCAAGTCAGGAACCAGGCATGGTCCCAAGTACTGCTACTCATAACAGGCTGCTCCTCATTATCCTCCAGTCTTCAGTTCTGCCTCTTCATTGTGCCCACATTCTTCTGTTTTTCTTTCTCTTCCATTTCGGCACACTTGCTCCTCTTACTGGTGCTCAGGGTTTCTGAGTGTCTGAGTGCTGTGGTTCAGCAGTGCTATGTCCTGCTTGTGCATTGTGGCCCTGGGCAGGGGTCATCTCAGGGTATCCATGGTGGTGCCAGTGTGGTGGTTGTCTCGGGCTCACTTCTGTCCGGGCCCATGGTCACACGTGGGGTTCTTCTAATCTATGGCTTCCTCCTCATCCTGTCCAGGCCTACCTAATGCCAGACTAATGTTCATCTCATGATTGCTTTTTTCAGAGAATGTTAGGGTTCTAATCCTTCATTGTTCATAGGGAAGAACACTGAGTGTCGACATAGCCTTTCTCCTCTTTTCCACCTACTGGTGCAAATGTGCCACAGTAGCCACACCTGCAATGCCTGTAGGAGTAGGAGCCTTTCTCTACTTTTTAACAGTTTGTTTTGTGCTTTTCAAATGGAAGGAATACAAGCTCTTGGACATGCTAGACAAATACTCCACCACTTACCTACATTACTGGCTTTTGGTTTTTGGAGTTTTTTGAGACAGTGTCTAGTTTATGTAGCTCAGCCTGGCCTTGAACTTGCTGTGGAACTCAGACTAGCCTCAAACTGTGTTTCTCCTGCCTTTGAGCTTGAGTGTTGGAATTAACGGTGTGAGTAACCATGCCCAGCTACCAGATGATAAAGTTACCTAATGTACTTAGGGTTGTTCTCCTGTTACAAACTATACTTCAGAGGCTATCTTTACATCATATTTACAGATGGTATTTTGAGTACTGTTTGTCTGATACTTTCCTAGAAGTAAAATTTTGTATTAATGCTTTATATAAGTTTGCTTTGTTTTCTGAGATATCAGTTTTAAACAGAAGGTCAGATCTCACTTTTCAGGTAGTTACTATTCAAAGTGCTCACAGGACAGTGACCTGAAGGGGCAGCAAATTTGTAGTTGCTTCTGGGCGATCCACTGTTTTGTCATGCTCCCAGCTCACTTAAGTACATGTATGTTTAGTTTTGTTAGGCCATGCTGAATTGCTTCTTGACCATGTTCTTACTTACTCTATACTCTTGTCCAAAACTGACAGAAGTTACAGATGTGATATCCTACCTGAAGAAAAGGATCAATTTAAATTGCTTTAGACTGAGAGAAGATGAGATTTCTTAGTATGTTTTAAGTCATTTGTGTGTTAATTGCTAATTTAATTTTGGTCTATAGTTTTTCTTCTGGGATGCCAAACTAATTTATGAGATTTTCTTATGTATTATGGAAAACATTTTGTTACTATGTGAGGTTTGACTTCTTTCACATCCCATTCCCTCTTCCAAAAATTGAGAATGTTTATACATTGAAATATAAGCAGTGTCCTGTTTTAAGTCTCAGGAGGAAAGATCACTTCATTTTGTGGTTATAAACATTTTTGTGTTTCCTTGTAGTAAGTATAATTTTAATTATATATTTTGATTTATATGTAATTTAGCGCACAGAGTTGTGAGAGTACTTAGGAAAGAGAGTTGAGTTAACTGTTTTATTGAATCATGTGGGCACTGCAGTGCCTGTTTCCCAGGCTCTCTAGTTAGCAGTAGGCGCAGCCCTCTCAGGTTGACCTGCCCAGTTTGGAGCCAGCAAGTGCTGCCGTGTGACCCTTGAGAACCCTTACCTCGACAGAAGCGTGCCAGTTAGATCTTGCAGGCGTCGTGTCAGTTCATTCTGCTGAGACTTACCCCTTCCCAGACGTGGACTAAATTCAACTGCTGTTACTTAGTATGTTTTAATGTGGCTCAGACCATCCTTTAAAAATTGTTACTATTTTGGAATTTTTCTAGACTGTATGACATTTAAAAAGCCTATATAGAAAAGTCATAATCTCTGTGTAGGCATTCATCTTTACTTTTTGTTTTATTAGGAAGTACAAGATGAAAATAAATTATTTAAATCCAAAGTTGAACAACTTAGTCAGCAGAATCACCAACAGGTAAGTACTACTCCATGTCTCACTTTTACTGTGTTGGCGACTGTTTATACTTACTTGTCATGCTTAAATGTTCACAGAGTGTAAAATGGTGGGTCTCCTATTTATCAGATTTTTATAAAAGCAATTTACTGTGCAATGTCTAAGACAAAATAATGTATAGTTTATAAAATATGTTCAAGGAATGTTATTATCAGTGTTTCAGCTTGATTATATACATGTGTGTGCTCTGATCAATGTTCCAGTTCTACTATATGCACATGTACATGTGTGCTCTGATCAATATTCCAGCTCTACTGTGTGTGCACGTGTACAGATGTCTGCTCTGATCAGTGTTCCAGTGTTCCATTATATTATATAAGTGTTTGCATGTATGCTTTGTAATCACATGTGTGTGTAGCTGTGTGCTCTGATCAGTGCTCCAGCTCTGTTTATATGCATACATGTGCGTGCACGCACATGCACTCTGATCAGTGCTCCAGCTCGACTGTGTAAACCTGTATGTGCATGTGTGCTCTGATCAGGGTCAGTTATAGCTGTTCTATACATTTGTGTGCTTGTATGCTCTGATTAGTGTCACAGCTAATACACATATGTATGTGTCCTGTTCCAGCTTTATTATACACACATGTGTGCTGATCACTGTTCCAGCTCTGTTATAATACATGTTTGTATGTGTATATGCCGATAGGTGTTTCAGCTCCATTATAATACACACCTGTATGCGTGTGTATGCCCTCAGTGTTCCTGCTCCATTGTAATATACATGTGTGTGCATTTGGACTCTGATCAGTGTTCTGGCTCTATTGAACAGATGGGCATGTGTGCTCTGATCCATCTCTGTTACACACACACATGCTAATATGTTTGCATATGCCCCTATCTTACAGAATGCTTTTCTTAGGAAGTTAACATTGTCTTGCAGAGGTCTGTTTGAATCTTAAGTTTCCTCTTTCCTTAAAACATCAGTAATTGGAAAGAAACTAATAGAAATGTAATATAGGTATTAAAAGTAATGCTCCAGCACTAATATGTCCTGGAATATATGTTCTTTAAGAAGTTATGTATGTGTATGTGACAACACAACGTTTTTGGAGTTTGGAGGTTGAACCCAGGGGCCTGTACTACCACTAAACAAAGTCTCAAGCCCTATTAAAATATGTGTTACTCAACTGTTTTTATGAATGTGAATAGGTAGACCAGAGAGTCTTAATTGAGAAACAATTAAGACTCCCTGTTGACAAGCAGTTTCTTGTAGCTGAGTTTGATGAGTTAACATTCTATGTGAAAGCTGTATACCTTTGCATATTATATAAAATCACTTTTTTGTTGAATGTGAGAAAACTACCTTTTCTTAATTTATTTGTTGATTTCATTTAGGTAGTTTTAGAAGCCAATATGAAAAGTACCTCAGTGCTTTACAGTAAGAAATTTGTAAGTCCTTACTAAGTAAAGACTTTTGGAGTAACGTTAAGATTTGGACTTAACACTCACCACTTACAAAATTTGTGAATGTTTTTATCAAAACCACTTGATTAAAGTTGGGGTGATGGTATAATGGAATATATGATATTTTTAAGTTTGGTGTTGACATATCTTGAAGAAGAATTTAATTGTTATGTTGCAGAAAGCTTTATTTTAAACTAATATTTAACTCTTTTAATAGGCATCTTTTCCCTCTCAGGAGGAATTACAAAGAGTGTAAGTAACTCATTGATTTGGAGTTTGGTGTGTTACAAAGAGTTCAGTGCTAAATTACCCTGAGACAGGAATTTACTGTAACTGTCTAAATGTATGAGTTGTCTTCGGGTGCTCTGGGCTGCAGGCTGTCAAGCATAGCTGTGCTTTTGTTCATTGTGCACAGTTTGAGGCATGTCTTTCTCTCCCAGTATTTTGGTGAGGGAGATATTAGGGCTTGCTTTCCCTCCTCCTGTCTTCTGGAGACTTCAGCAAATTCAGATGGGCTGGAGCTTGCTCTCGATCATCCCAGCGCCGTCCTCATCCTCTTTGCTTGCTTTTCTTTTGTGTCCCACTCTAGATGAGTGCTGCAGACTCTGGCCCCACCACTGTGTTTTTATGAAAACTTGAGAGTTGTTATGGTTCTCTTTTTAAGAAACAGAAACATTTTTTTCCTTGTTGGCCTCTGATTTCTTTAAGAGGCTACTAACTGAAAGTCATTTCTGCTTATAGTTTGTTTCAAAATGCTAAATGACAACTATATTAAGTGTATCAATAGATGACAGGAGTCTAAATATTCTTCCATTTTAGATTGTTTGTAAGGTTGGCCATTTAGTAGCCATTTAGGGTTGTTTGTTGTTTGTCTGGAGTTTGACTGTATGAAGTTAGAATGCAAACATTTTCTATAATAAGCTGATAGTGGCTTCAGGGACCATAGAGGTCCCAGTTTCATGTTGTTACTTTCTTTTGTTATATATGTGAAGTTGTTTTTTTTTTTTTTTTTTTTCTTATATGTATTTGTGTTTTCTTGCTTGTCTGTTTATGACCATAAGCATCGTACAGTGGCCTTGGATGTCAAAAGAGGATACTGAATTCCTTGAAACTGGAGTTAAAAGTAGTTGTAATTGGCCTGACCTAGGTGCTGGGAACCGAAGTTGTGTCCTCTGCAAGAGCAACAAGTGCTCTTAACCACTGAACTATCACTGTAGCCCCTATTTTAATTTTTAAACTTTTTAAAATTGTGGAAGAAGGAGACTCGTACAGTGGTTCATACCTGTAATTCCAGCTGTTTGGTATGATGAGGCAGGAGGATCACTTGCAGTTAGACCAACCTTGTCAACATAGTTTGACTTTGTCTCAAAGCACCTTTGTCAAATAAAACAAAACAAATCAAAAAACAACAGAAAACCGAAAACTAGTAGTAATACTATGTTAATCATACTTATTACTGTGACCAGATGCTTGGTAGTCAGTCCATTGTCCTTAGTTCTACTAACTGTGCTGTAATGGGGAGAACAGGTATTAGGAGCCCCACCTCAGAGGCTCTGGTTTGGGAACAAGATACCTTCATTGACCCACCTCTAGTGATATATTTTTTGTTGTTGTTGATAAGGGCCCTATCAGACCAATTTCAAAATAGTTCTACCATGTGGGGGCCAAACTGTTATTGTAGGAGTCTTTGTGAGGAGGACCAGATTGGTTGTTGGGTAACCCTTTATATACAGCCTTAGTCTTAAGAAAGCTGTTTGTGAGTGGACATTCTACTCAAGTATAACAGAATGAATTCTGAAAATTTCCTTTTCTTTCTGCATTTCTGGTAAATAAGGCACTGAACAAGACTAGAAGAAAAACAAACAGTAATTAAAGCTATAAATCCTAAGATTGGGTAAAAATAGCAAGAGGATACCAGGTCACTTTCATATAATGGTATTGGCGTAATGAGCCATTTAGTAACAACTGATTTAATTGCCTTAAAAAAATGCTTATA